TTTACACAGAGGCTTTAGATTAACTATTACTTTTGTATATTATACTTGAGTATATTATACTTGAGTATATATTCTATTATGTAAAAAATAACAATAGAGCGATTATTTACTGTATCAAATCCAATTAAAGCAAATATTTTAAGATGAATATTAAACACAAAAACATTTTTCTTATGCTTGGATCGATCCTGTAACCATCGAATTCATCATTTCTCTTATTATTGTTTTAGTTTGCATCAAAATGAAACTATTGCCATCCCTGAGTGCACGTACAATGAACGCCGCGGGCACCGATACGTGAGATCGTGACTTTCGACCGCGCACCGAACGAATTATTCTATATTGTAATGTATTGCCAAAAACTCGCCCGCATCTATCGATATACAGCGTGTGCTGAAAACTGTTGAAAACGAGCTGAAAATACTGTAAGAATTAATGGATTGATTCTTGATAAAAATATACTGCTGTATAGGTTTGTTACTTTTTAGATAATATATTTTTCATAGCATTTTAAGTCTTATGAGGTATGGTTATTATAAAATATAGAATACTAGCAACTCACCCTTGCTTCGCTCGAGTTCGTCCCTAGTGAAAAACAAAAATAATCTATCCCACGGGAACCACACATTTTGCCGGGATAAAAAGTAATCTATGTGCTATCTCTTTGCCAAATCTCATCCAGGTCCGTTCAGCCGATTTAACGTGATTGAGTATCCAAGCTATCCAAAATTTCCCATTGATAATATTTATGGGATTGGATAGTAATATTTATACGAGATTAAAAATTTAACCTCTTAAGGGATTCAATCTCTTCAATCTTTACGTTTTGAACGGGTTCTGTGTTCGCATATCAAAGGTTTACTTATTAATAAGTGTTGACACTATGTTAATAAAATTATTTAAGACTCTTAGCTTTAACATTTTTATCCCCATTAAGGGGTGATTTCCGAGATAAAAAGTATCCTATGTCCTTCCCAGGGTCTCAAACTATCTTCTTTTCAAATTTCATCTAAATCGGTTTAGGAGATCCAAAGATTACCCCCCACAACGTCACAAACTCATAATCTCACAAATTCACAAACTTTACCTCTTTATAATATTAGTACCTATAGATGGTACATTAGGACTTTATTTTGTAACTACATAAATAAATTGATAACACTTATTTTTGTTAACCCGTAACTTTTAACTATTACGTTTTCACCTCATTCTAGATTCTACCAGGTACCTACCTACTCCATATATTAGGTATATGTATTTCCTTTTCGGTAACCTTAAAATTAAGACTACTTCTCCCAAGTTTCCTGACCTCTAGATTTTTTTTCTTACATTTTCTTAAAATAAAAGTCATCAATCTTTCTGTTTTTGTTATTACCAGAATTAAAAAAATAATAATGTTACCTTCGTTTATATCTGTTAGTATTCCTTCTTTCAACCATATTATATATCACATCTCAATTCTGTCACTTTGATTTATATCTTAATGCGAGAACTATCAAAACTTATTATATACCTACTATGGCACCTAGTGGAAATAACTAATTTAATTAACTCTATCAATAAATTTTGATTTACACCTTAGTTATATCGGTGCGGGCGTCTGTCCATAGTTCCACCAATTTAGCCACAATTGGGTATCAGTGTATAGCCTAGTTGGGCAACTGCTAAACGGCCGTAAGTTAAGAACATCCTGTATCTGTGATTGGCGATATCTGATCGTTACAGAATGGTCGCTCGTTATCGCGGCGTTGACGCGGTAATGAGCATTAGCGATTGCGATGATTAAACTTGTTTAACGATCTCCACAATGACACTGTCACAACCGCCCCCGGGCGGCGCTCGCGGCGCCACCACGCCTTTGACTCCTAACTTTTCTAATTATACCCCTCATTAAATATTTAGAACAGTGCCCTGCTATATCTAAACTAATATTATAAAGAGGTAAAATCTTTAAGTTATAAGATTGTGTCTAGGAAGTGATCTCCAAAACTACTTATCTGATTCAGAAAATTCTTTCATTAATAGGAAACCACATTTTCGGTTGAGTGAGTCAGTTTATTTTCCGATAAAAATGTGTTTACTGTCAGAAATTATACTAACTTTAATTGGAGTCGGAAAACATTGAATTGATTTGTTTTATTAGCGTGCACTAGTCAGTAAGAAACATGATACGGCCTGGAGTAACACGTAATATGTGGCAAAAATATAATATAGACTGGAGTAACATATAGTCTAATGATAGCCACGAAGAGTAAGTCCTTAGTTTAAAATAATTCCTTCTCAAATAAAGTAATAATTATCAATATTTATATCATCATGTACATAGCAAATACTTAAATGATAAATATGTTGAGACACACAACACCATCTAGTTCCATGGTAAGCTACGAGGCCTGTGTTATGTATCTGGTATCCATAGTTGATACACCACACATATATAACTTTAAATACATACGTATTATAAATATAAACACCCACGACTAGAGTACAAACATTTGTGCTCATCAAACAAATGAATGCCCCCAGTGGGACTCGAACCCGCGTCCGCTGGCACAGCAAGTAGGGTCGCTACAAACTGAGCCAAACGTGTTGTCAAACAGTTTATAACATAATTTCATGAAGTAATAATAAAAGAGTGATGATGATGATGATGATGATGTTCTCCAGACCGATTCCGGCCACGGCGGCCAATCTCATTGAGACTAGCCAACTGCGCAGGAGATATTATAATGCACAAGTGGATGCGCAGACACAAGTGCACTCTCTATTCCTGTCACACTCATACTCCGGTGGGACGACTACTCGACACGACCAGTAAGAGTTAAGGCGCAGGACCGACGGTTTTACGCGCTCTCCGAGGCACGGGGGTGAAACATCGCCAACTTCCTACCTCCGGGCTGTTGCTGAGGCTTACTATACAGAAAGACTCAATAATTAAACTTGGCCCGACCCGGGACTCGAACCCAGGACTTCCGGGTGTGCAGCCGTACATGCTAGCCACTACACCGCCGAGGCAGTAATAGAGTATAACTGGAATGAATGTTTGTTATTACGTAACTTTTAAACGACTAGACCAATTAATATTATATTTACACTATAAGATAAGAACTTAAGTTCCAATAACATGCTATGAATCTTAAGCCCTGGAGCCATTAAACATAAATGTACTATACCAACGGAGGTTGAGTTGTATCCCAGGAAACGGTAAGAGACGAGCGTACAAGGCGGGATTAGACTTTAATTTGAAATATGTACTCTTAACGAAATTTCCAAAATAAACTACTTGTTGGATAACACCAAGCTATTGAAATAGCTTAATTGCCAATAGGCGAATGGCGACCGCACAATTAACCTGACACAAAATAACCTTTGATAATACTAGTAACAGATAAAATTTTAAATTATATACACAAACTATAAATTAACTAGCCACTTACCCTCGCCTTGCTTGGGTACATCCTTAGGAGAATTAGTAGTATATGTACCTATAACTCCAGATCATAATCTATCCGAGAACCAAATTACATCCAAAATCGTCAAGTCATTTCAGCTTAAAAGAGGAACACACATATACAAACAAACACACATGCATATAGAGGAGGACTTATCATATAATATCTTAATTAGCTATATGACAAAGATAGAATATTAATCCAACTTTGTGACATATTATTATTTCATGAAATATACAGAAAATGGATTTCGAAAATTGTTTTTTCTTTTTTTTTGTTTGTTGTACAACTTCAATGGCTCCTATATATTCTATATATATACCACATAAAATTTAAATGAAATATTTCTATATAAAACTGTGCATACTTATAAATTAAATTTACATAAAATAGCGAAATATTATAAAGTTGAATTCATGTTTCATATTGTGAACTTGTGTGAAAATATCAATTTGTGAACGAAAAGCTCGTTTTGGGTAATTAAAATTGCCTTTAAAGATTAAGTCCATACTTATCATGTATAATCAGATTATACTTCAAAAGATAAATAAAACGTATATTGAATATCTCACCTAGCTTCACGACCAGATCTCTTAAGCAAATTGCGTCCTTCTTCTGGTAGAATTATACCTGCGTATTCAGCCCTTTTTGACAGCCCACTGCTGGACACCGGCCTCCCTTAAATACGAGGGGCTATAGTCCACCACGCTAGCCAAGTGTGGGTTGGCGGACACTGAGACGCCTTTTATCTTAAAGCAACGATTTGAAAGTGCCAATAAAAGTTTACTTGAGATATTATTGGAGTTTTACGCAAATTTTGATCCATAATGACACGACTTCGTTACACTTAAACCATTACTTATTAAGGTACCTACATATTTCAGTTATTTTTAAGAACGAGATTCGCAAATAAACTAACATAATTCACAATTTTATAATATTAGGAAAATTCAAATTAAATATGCAAGAAATAATAGCTTTGATTCTGCAGGGGTAACAAATTTCTTGAGCAATATACCTATATTTCTTCATTCTATTTGTAAATATAGTAAAATTATAAATTATTGAGTATTACATTAATACGCATTTACATTGGATCTTAGAAATCTATATTAAAACTAACGGCTTAGCCGCGCTTCGCTCGGTTTCGCGTCTAGAAGACAAAAACATCTATCCTACGGGAACCGTACACTTTTCCGAGCTAAAAAGAAGCCTATTCCAGACTATAATCCCTGTGCTAAATTTCATTTAGATACGTTCGGCTGTTCTGGCGTGATTGAGTAACAAACATCCAAACTTCTAAACTTTAACATTTATAACATTAGTAAGATTGCATTCTAATGTTAAGACGTAACAAACTTATGTAGGTTACTAGAAGATAAAAAAACCGTCAGATTAGACAATTAATCTTTCTCTAGTGACTATCGTCGATGGAAAACCACAAAATATATTTAAACTAGCAACTTACCTCGGGTCTATGTACTTATTACTTCAAGTTATAGTCCACCTGTGTACCAAATTTCATCAAAATATGTCCAGCCCTTTTTAATGAAAGGAGTAACAAACATACGCACTCAACAAATACAAGATTTCGCATTTATTGTATCCATGACGCCGCCAACTGGAAACAGGTCAGTATTAGAAATTGAAGAACCTTGAAATATTGAACGAATATATCTTCCTACTTCGACATATTAATTACTAGCGACTCACTTCCGCTTCTCTTGGGTTCGTCCGTAGGTCGATTCCCCAAACAAACTTTCGTCTCCATTTTCAAAGGGAATCCCGTAAGGGATGATTTCTGGGATAAAAACTATCCTAAGTCATTCCCAGGGTCTCAAACTATCTTCTTACCAAATTTTATATGAATCGGTTCACTAGATTCAGAGATTCTATTCTGCCTACAAACAAACTCACAAACTTTACCTCTTTATAATAGAGATTGAACTAGGCGACGAATACGCCTTATTTGTTTACATTACCAACAAATAGATAGGTACTTGTTGAAGTTACAGTAGAGAGTTTTTTCCTCTATTTTAAATCTCCGTCAAATTTATTTCTAAGATTTATATAGTAGTTGTAATTGCGAGAGTTTGTATATGTGTATGTTTATCTTTGTTTTACTGACTAAACAAACTACGACTTGGAGAATCACCTAGGCTACTGATTGGCACCCGACCTAGCGAAGGTTGTCGCTAGTTAACTATGAAGTACCTCACTAGTGATGGTGCAGTGCAGTTACAGTACGATATTTTTTTCTAAAAGGAAAGTAAAAGAAAAAAAGCATTTTTCTTTCTCCTCCTTCTCGTAGTCGGGTAAATAAGAGTCAGTCGATGATTGAAACACTTAGTTTTTATTATCTGTCATTTTTATCACCGCTTCGATGACTTTTTTCATTATTTATACGAAATCAGCCCTTTACTTATAAGGATACATATGTAGCTACACTAGACGTCTCGTGAAACTCAGAAAAGTTAGCTCTGAAAAGAGCTGTTGGTGTCGTAGGAAACATGAATAATCAGCTCTCAAAAGAGCTATTTCATTGTCTGTATGAAACAAGAAGTAGTTCTGAAAAGAACTGTTTTACGTGTGAAGTATAACTAAGCGTAGCCAGACTGCAGATCCGTCCGTTGCGAGCGCTGCGCGGCAAATGCCCGCGCGCATGACTGCCTAGTTATATTTATAACTTCAGCGGCCCGCGCGAAATCACGCGACCGCGCGAATTTCCAGAATCCATGAGAGCAGAAGATTCGCGCTATTTTTATCTCATTCTAATGTTACGACCAAACATGTTTTAAATAAAATTAAGATTTTTATTTGTTAGTATAATTTTCTAATTGTAATTATTCTAATGTACACATTTTTATTGGTCAATTATTTTGTAAATTTTTTATAATTTTTGTATATAAGGATGCACATTTTTGACAATAAATATTCTACTCGATTCTACTCATCTCTAATAATTACAAGTTTCATTTATTAACCCCAACTTGTAAACATATATTGCAACCCTTTTAGGGCAGATCGGGCAGAGGGATAGTGTGGACTTAGGTTTATTCTTTGGGAACGCTGTCTAGTCATACATACAAGCTATGAAAAATATTTATTACTAGCCTTTACCCGCCGCTATATCCGTGTAGTTTAACTACGTATTACAATATCTTTATAAAGTTATCTATACTAATATTAAAAATAGGTAAAGTTTGTGAGCTTGTGAGGTTGTAGGAGGATCTTTTTATCCCGGAAATCATCCCTTAAGGGTGTGAAAATAGGGATGCAAGTTTGTGCGAGGGTGGGTCGCTAGTTCTTATATAAAACTTTAAAGTTTCATCAAAATCCGTTCCGTATTCTTTACGTGAATTAATATTATAATATTAGTAGGAAGAAAGATAAGCTTATTTTTATGATATTTTTTATATAGGTGAACGGGCTGATTTCTTATGTACCTATGTATATACATATATTGTTTATGAATATAAAAAAGATGATATGTTTATAGAGAGTTACTTAATATAATACGTTCGCTGATACTCACTTTGTACTTAAGTATTGACAGCGATCTGGTTAAATGTTGCAAATAGCGGGTATTGGTCGCCAGCAATCAGTCCGTGATTGCGACACTCGTTACGTGAAAATCCTTGGCAAGATTTTTAAATGGGATTTATACTTCGAATACAGTAGTTTGATGTCCAAATTGTAGATGACTATACTTATTCTAAAAAATGCACCCGGTGCGGAGTTCATATCAATCAATGTAAAAATTTTCATTGAGTGTTTAAGGATGCTTATTTTAAAAGTCAACAATACTATACCACACGTTCAGAAATAAATACATCAAGTTCGAGAAGTACCTAAAGAAGTACCTAAAAGAACCTGATAAAGTAAACTCAGGAATACTTTCTTAGATTTACGCGAATATTTGACATCTTAAATAAAACTATCTTTGCGGACAAAATCCGAAAAGATAGTTTTATTTAAACTCAGGAAGACAAGCTAGAAGACGCGCACATCATTCCTAACATTTTTAAGGATAAAATAATCTACATATGTATAAATAGGTAGGTTGTTTGAAAGTGTATACTTCCAGATTGGTCCTATTTAAATTTCAAAAAAAAAACACCAAGGGTGGAAAAATAGCTAATGATGAATTTAACCTACTTCTAATTGTCATATTGACTTGAAACTTTACAAGTGTTTCTATTTCCGTTGATAGTACAGTGGTTTGGTATTGTTAACTTGATCTGATGGTAAGGCCAGAAGGTAGATAGGTGGAACTTTTCAACGGCTAATAGTAGATACTTTGAGTTAGGGCTTATTTTGTTTGATTTGACAAGCCTAACACGTTAGAATTCTTACTTTGCTACTACTGTCTACACTAAAAAAGGAAAAATAAAAACTTTTTAACAAAAAAATAAAAACCGATTTCAAACAAAAGCACTAAAAAGTAAAAAATAACTGATTGGTAGTTTTCATTTACTATACATACCTAATCAAATATTTTCGAAGTCGGTGTGCTTTGGCTAAGTAATTAAAGCCTACCTATTAAATACATACCTAATCAAATATTTTCGAATCGGTGCCATCCCATACAAAGGAACTTGTTACTATTTAAATGACTGCAAAAAGGAGGAGGTAGCAGGTTCCTATTTTTTTTTCAATACCCTTAACTTTTAACCCTTAAGCAATAATTATAATATTAATCGGTCGGTACAATCTAGTGGCCGTATTGAATAGCATATAGGGTCTTAGATCTAGGGGTCCTAAGTTCGAGTCCCGGTTCGGGCCAAGTTTAGTTATTAAGGTTTTCTTAGTTATTATTATTGAGTTTTTCTCTTAACACGTTCACTGCGTCATCATTTTAAAAGAACTTTCAGCTGGTGCTTTGGAGACCTAAAAGATCTCGAAACTAGCCTACCCTTTGGTGCGTTAGAGACCTAATCAGTCTCCTAAAAATACAGTTTTGAAAATAATTTATATCTTCCAAAAAACTAATGACATATATTTTAAAGTTTTTGTGGGTCAAGAGAGCCTATTGCTCTACATTTTGCTAGGTTCGCACGCAGTTATGACATTAGAATAAGCTACAAATACCATAAAAAATTAAATATCGATTGTATCTCGTACCGCAACCGAAGATAGTTCAATATGTGTAGTAAGTAGTGATGGGAATAAAATAATATCTCAGTTGTCGATTGAAAAAGTTTTATTAAAGAAGTTTATTTATAAACTATGCAAAGTGTTTTTCATTAAAACATAGTAAGCACATTGATTATTTGCATTGCACGCAAATGGAATTTTTTCAGCTTTTTTTAGAAGCGTCAGTGCTGTTTAATGTGCGTCGTAATTTTTGATAACAACCCACACAACGTCTTTTTTTGTCGCCACGTTGGAAAACATGATCTGTACATCTTCCTTCGGGGAATTCTGTAATAAAAAGCATTATATTTTCCAAAATTGTAATTATACTGGACGATGCAGCACTATAATCCAGCGTTGATTTTTCATTCTTAGAAATCTCACCAAAATAAAACAATTTTATTAAATAATTAAATAAAATATATTAAATAAAAAATTTTTTACACTTTTTCGAAACGTGCGCGCAACCTCCCACGTCGACACTAGGACAACACTAAATCGATTCACACAGCGCCCGCGCCCCCCAACCTCCCTTTCTTGCGTCTACGAGGCGTACGAATCCACGAGTATCGACATGTCTCCTAACGCAAGGAATAAAAATAATTATACTACTGTGCGTAGGTCCCTAACGCATCTCTATTTATTTTTTTTATGTCCTCGAATTCACCTTTAAGTAGGAAGCAAATATGTATATTTGTCTTACTCATACTTAAAGAACTTTACACGTTAGAGCCTCCCGCAAGGAGTGAAACAACACGATTATAGTCAACGCACAGTACAAAAGTCCTGCAAGAGATCTGATAGATCTCGTAATGCAGCGAACGTGTTAAGTGATTTTCAGAAGCCATTTATTTGGTGCTGGCAAGATGGCGGTATTACACCCCCATGCCTCGGAGAACACGTAAAGCTGTAGGTCCTGCACCTAACGTCCTGTCCTAACCGGTCGTGTCAAAGTATCGTCCCATCGGCTTTGTATATTGCATAATGATAGGAATAGAGTGTAGGTACTTGTGCCTGTGTCAACATTTACATAGTATAATATAACATGTCCTGCATACAAGGTTAATCTCAGTGAGATTGACCGCCGCGGTCGGAACCGATCATGAGGACATCAATCATAATTAAACGGGTGCTGAAATTTCAGTTGAAAAGTAATTACTTATTTAACTTTCTCTACTGGATATTTTTAGCTAATTTTCATAGCAAAAATGTGCTATCTGTTTATAAACCAGTCCTCCGGCCAAGTTAAATTATTGGGAGTTTCGCTTTCTTTTCCTTAAGAAATTATCAGAAGTTATCATCTTCGTGCCTCTGCGAGCAAGTAAAGTCATCTTGTTCGCCGGTAGTTTCCAATTGTCGTTATATCGAAATTCGCGAATGAAAGGAACAAAGAGTGCAACTTTGTTTTCATATGGAATAGTTTTCTAACGGGAAATGGATAGAGAGCTTATTACTTAACCTTATCACCACTGGACGCCAATCAAGTCCCAATGCGAGGAAGAACAGGTCATAGTCTACAACCACCAGGTGAGCGGACTTCACGTGTGTGTTCGGATATGATAGTAGCAGTTGTTAGGTTCTTTTAGATTTACAACTTCATTTTTAATATTTTCCTGCATCTAAGACAAGTGGTAAACATGTTGAAAGATGATTTGCATATGAAAATATCAAGAGACTCGGGTTGGAACCCATTTCACTTGTTTTTAAAAGCGAGCATGTTACTACCGGGCCGCTATCGCCACTAATATTTGAATATATAGTAATATAAAATTTTGTTACGAATTACCTACTATTTATTATGTGTGTTTGTTTGTTACTCCTTCAGGCTAGAACGGCTGGACGGATTTAGATGGCACGTTACTGATAGGTATAAGGGACTTATCCTATCCACATATAATTCAAAATCAAATCGAATTTTAAAGATCTTTTTTGTAAGTCAGTGAAAAAACAGAACTTTTTTCATTAAAATTATGAAATAATTTACATCAACTAACGAAATCATTAATAAGGGAAACACTATGGAGAAATTAGAATAACAAATGATAAACAAACTAAAGCACTATACTTACTCCTAGTAATGGGCTCATGAATAATGCCCTTTGCCGAAACTACTCGCACCCTTCCCGCGAACGAGACATGTATCTACTGAATTAATCAGATAATACTGTTTTATATTATAAAAAATATCACATTTTGAGACGTGCTGTGGAAGTTTTGGAGACATGTAATTAATTTAAAAATGTCAATTTTAATTAATACTAAATATCATTTTATATGAAACGTTAAAAGGTAGGTATGTCTAAAAACTTAAAAAAAACTTTATATTTATATTAACTTTATATAGATAATTTGTGTAGGTTAGGTGGGGATTTTGTATTATCCATATCTTTTGAGACCTCAATAATCTTAGTCTCTACCGTGACCATTGTTGTTGTAAAGCATTTAAAACATCAGGAATTAAAAATAAAAATAAAACCGCAGGGAAACCAATGACTAGTTTATTTAAAATGTAAAATATTCGTATCTAAAATTTTTAAAATGTCACTAGCGACTTACCCTCGTTTCCCTTAAGTGCGTCTGTAAGCTTAAATTGTTTAGGAATGCATAAAAGACAAACATCCGATGAAATTGTCTTTTTTTATGTCAGGTAATTTCGCAGGCATACTCGTACCTATACAAAATTATCTACCAGAGTTTCACCACAATCGGATCAATGGCTTTGTGTAGAATGTATATGTATAATAGTTTTAATTTGATATTATTGCAAGAGATGGCACTGTCATTGTAAGTGTAGTTTTCTGAATCGCGCTGTCTAAAGTTTCTGGTCGTTATATATAAGGCAATTGAAAGATGTGTCATTAGAGTTTAAATTGAGTTAAAATATACGAGTGTCATCAACGAGTAGTATTTTCATTTCTAACATTGGTGCCGAAACCAGGGAGAGAAAAGGAAGGACAAAGTGTAGTGAGTGTAGAGTCACGAGTGGTAAGACGAGCTTAAAGGACCTAAAACCGTGAGTAAATAGAGATAAGACAGTGAATTCAGTGATTAGTGAATCAGTTAAAAGACTTGCAAAATTTCGCGTAAAGTATACGTACGAACTTAGAATAATTAATAGTGATTTTAACTTAAACTATTTTCGTTCTTTTAAAGACTTTAAAAAAAAAATATTGAAATTTTGGACTTGTAAAATATTCGAGATTTAATTCTATGGACTTGTAAAATATTTGTGAATTTACTCTATGAACTTGACAAAACATTGATGTTTGAAGTTGTCAAATATGTTGTATTTATCGATCGTATTTCTAATTTAAATAATATACTATATTGTGTTTCTTTACACTAAATAATAATGGAGAATTTAGTAAAAGGGCAATTCGAGTTATTTGAGCAACTAAAAAAAGCGGAACGGAATTTTAAAAAGTCAAACATTGAGATCCGTGCTAAAATTAGTTATTTAACTGCACGAATAGAAGCATTGGATAAATTAGAGGAAGCTTTTAATCAAAATCATTTGGAAATAGCATCTAAGGTGACACACGAACAGAAAGCGCAGTTATCATATTTTAAAGATGATTTGCAGGATAGTTTTCAAGAATCTTTTATTAACTATAAAGCCCTTCTTAAAGAATACATTGCATCGGCCAATTCAAGCTCTGCAAAGGTAGGTGCTAGTGGAAATGGATTGTCTGTCACGAAAGAGATTAATTCTGAGGTACAGCTACCTAGAATTCAACTTCCTATTTTTAATGGAAAATATACAGAGTGGCAATCCTTTTACGACATGTTTGTGTCACTTATACACGAGAATTCTGTACTTACGCCGGTACAAAAATTACATTATTTAAAGTCAAGTTTGACTGGAGAACCTGAAATGCTATTGAGAAATTTTCCCACTACAGCTACTAATTATAAAGAAGCATGGGATCAGCTAACTAAACGTTATAATAATAAAAGGTACAACTGTAACTCTATTATGAAAATGTTGTTTGGACAAAAAACCATAACACATGAGTCTGCAATTTCTATTAGAAACTTACTAGATACAACTAACTCTTGTTTAAAAGCATTAAATAACCTTAACATTAAAACTCAAGAATGGGATGCAGTGATTATTCATTTAGTAGTCTTAAAATTGGATCAAGAGTCACATCGACACTGGGAAAACTATTTGAGTACTATAACAGATGAACTACCCAAATGGTCACATTTAGAACAATTTCTAGAGACGAGATTCAGAACCTTAGAGATGATAGATACAAACAAACAATCTACAAGTTTTAAATTACACAATAACCAACAAAGAAATGCAAATCAAGTAATAAAACCAAAAACATTCTATTCAGATGTAAACGTTAAACGAAGTTCAAATGAAGCAACTTGTGCAATGTGTAACGGTCCACATTTTATATATTACTGTACACAGTTTAAGAAAGAACCTGTACTTGAGAGGCAAAATATAGTGCAAAGTAAGCGGCTTTGTTTTAACTGTCTCGCGCCCACACATTCTGTATTTAAATGTCAACAAAATTCGACATGTCGAAAATGTGGCAAAAAGCACCATACTTTGCTTCATTTTGAGAAAGAAGATAAGCAAACATATCAAAATTCGAGACAAACTGAGTCAACGAGAGATACAGAACATAAATCTAGTGGTGGAATAAATTCATCATCTAACGAGACAACTGTATTAGCTAATTTTTCGAGAGGTGATGTAAAAACTTATAACGTGTTATTAGCAACTGCTGCTGTAAAATCTAATAGTTCTAGAAACGGTTCTTCTTATATTTTAAGAGCATTGTTAGACCAAGGCTCTCAAGCCTCTTTTGTGACTGAGGACACAGTACAGTTGTTAGGTCTTAAACGTACTAATGTAAATGGTAGGGTGTCAAGCTTGGGAGATGGTCATAGTATGGTTATAAAATACGCAGTTAATATCGAAGTAGAATCCCGTAACGATCCTGGTAAAAATATTCGCGTCTACGCTTATGTATTAAAGTCAATTACCTCTATATTACCGTCACGTGAAGTACATATCCCCGATTGGCTAGACCTTAAAAACTTACCTCTTGCCGATCCAGGATTTGCATCTCCAGGGAAGATTGATGTTTTACTCGGTGCAGAAGTATACGGAGAGATACTGCTAAATGGAATGAAGAGAAGCCCATACGGAAACCTAATAGCTCAGAATACTATTTTTGGATGGATTTTGTCAGGTAAGGTGTCACGAGAATCTGGTAATGACAATGTTGTTACTTTACATGTTCAAGTTAAAGAAGATGAGTTATTAAAAAAGTTTTGGGAGATAGAGAACGAGCCGAATAGTATCGAGAAAAAATTAACTAAAGAGGAACAACGCTGTGAGCAATTCTATACTGAGACAACATCGAGACGTAAAGATGGGAGGTTCGTAGTAAGATTACCATTTAGAACAGATAATCCCCAGAGTCAATATGGTCGATCATGTGAGATAGCTACGAGAAAACTAATTTCATTAGAGAGAAGATTATGTAAAAACCCTAAACTTTTAAATGAGTATGGTAAAGTTCTAGAAGAGTATACTGCTTTAAATCATATGAGGCTAGTCGAAAGTGAGGATGTAGATAATCCTTCAGCTGTATATCTTCCACATCATGCAGTTATCAGAGACGATAGGGAGACAACAAAAGTGCGCGTTGTCTTCAATGCCTCTAGTAAAGGAATCAATAACGTGTCATTGAATGATGATCTTCTTATAGGGCCAAAACTCCAACAAGACTTACGACATCTTTTACTCAGATGGCGGCAGCACCCTATATGTATTGTTGCAGATTTAGTAAAGATGTACAGGCAAGTGTATGTGCATGATATGGATACCAATTTTCAACGAATTGTATGGAGAGCTAGACCTGATTTACCAATTCAACATCACAAACTATTGACATTAACCTTTGGAACCGCCTGCGCACCTTATCTTGCAGTAAAGACTTTACAAACATTAGCCGAATTAGAAAGCGAGAATTACCCATTAGCAGCACAGATTACAAAACGAGATTTTTATGTAGACGATTTAATGACTGGGTGTGAAGAAGAGTGGGAAGCGATACAAATTTATGAGGAAATGAGTAAATTAATGAGTGCGGGAGGTTTTCAAGTGCAAAAGTGGAGTAGTAATAATCAATCGTTTTTAAATCACATTAAAATAGAGAAGTTAAACACAGAGAACGCGATATATATCAAAGAAGATAATATGGTCAAAGTATTGGGTATTTGTTGGAACAGATTTATAGACAATTTTGAGTATATAGTTAATTTACCTGAACCTACACAATCGGTTACAAAACGAAATGTTCTATCAGATATTGCGCGATTATATGACCCTATTGGATGGATTGCACCTGTAGTAATTACTGCTAAAATTTTTATACAAAAATTATGGAAATCACACCTAGATTGGCATAATGAGTTACCGAGTGATCTTTTGGCAGAGTGGCTTAAATATAGACAAGAATTAACTCATATTAAACATATTCTAATACCCCGATGGCTTTGCTCAACCAAGAGATCTAAGTTAGAGTTACATGCATTTTCAGATGCGTCAAGTGTTGCTTATGCAGCTGCTGTGTATCTCAAAGTGATTGACGAGAACAATCAAATTTACGTTAGACTTGTGACTGCAAAAACTAAAGTAGCGCCTATTGAAAGAGAAGTGTCTATTCCCAGGTTAGAACTTTGTGGAGCAGTATTAGCTGCTAAATTAATACATGAGGTGTCACAAGTAATGGGCGTAATGAAACAAGATTTATATGCCTGGACTGATTCTATGGTAGTATTGGCATGGTTACGAGGGCCGGTAAGTCGGTGGGCTACTTACGTAAGTAATAGAGTATCACACATTCACACAATCTTAGATTTTGAGCAATGGCGACATGTATCTACTCAGACGAATCCCGCTGATTGTGCATCGAGAGGTCTCAAGCCGACCGAATTAAGCAGTTATTCACTCTGGTGGAACGGTCCTGAGTGGCTAGCAAAATCGATCATTAATATTGAAAATCCAATTATAGGTGATACTTACGAGGAAGAGAAGGTTAAATCATTTACCACGAAGGTCACAGAATGCAGTTTTGAGTGGATGAAATTCTCAGATTTAAATAAAATGTTAAAAGTCATATCCATATGTCGGAGGTTCCTTAAAGTAAAGTTACCATTAAAAGATAGATCTGCATATCCTAAATACGCTACAACTGATGAGATGAATAAAACTATGGAACTTTGTATTAGACAAGTTCAGGAGTATGAGTTTAGCGACGAAATGATTTCACTACAAAATAAGGGTTGTGTCTCAAAACGGAGCAAGTTACTTTCACTTTATCCATTTTTAGACAAAAATAAGATATTAAGAGTTGGTGGACGCATTAGCCAAGCAGAAGTGAGCTTTGATCAAAAACATCCAATTATCATGCCAAATAAAAATCATTTAAGTCAGCTGATAGTCGCAGATGCTCATAAGAAGACACTTCATGGCGGGCCTCAATTAATGATGAATTTTTTGAGATCTAAATTTTGGATAGTGAGAGCACGTGATATGGTCAAACAATATTATAGGGAATGTACAACTTGCTTAAGGTACTCTAAAGCAGCAACAACCCAACTTATGGGGCAGTTACCAGAGGCCAGGGTAAAACCAAGCAGACCCTTCAAAACTTCAGGAGTGGATTATGCGGGTCCCATTAATATTAGAGTATCATCGGGTAGAGGAGCAAAGTCCTATAAAGGATATATTTGTTTGTTCGTGTGCATGGTCACTCCTGCAATTCACTTAGAAGCTGTGACTGATCTAACAGCGAAAGGCTTTATTGCCGCCATTCGAAGATTTGTAGCTAGAAGAGGACACTGTCAAGATCTTTTTAGCGACAACGGCACTAACTTTGTTGGTGCAGATGTGATGTTACGAAATATGTTTAATAGTGCTAAATCTGAGTTACCACATGAAATAGCAGAACTTTTAACATTAGAATCCACTAAATGGCATTTTATACCTCCAAGTGCACCTAATTTTGGAGGAATTTGGGAAGCGGGTGTTCGTTGTGCTAAATCACATTTAAAAAGAGTAATAGGGGATAGTACTTTAACATACGAAGAGCTTTGTACACTACTAACGCAAATCGAGGCTTGTTTAAATTCTCGACCTTTGTCATTTGTTAGTGATAACCCAGACGACCCTCTTCCCTTGACACCTGGCCATTTTTTAATAGGAGAGCCTTTGATAGGTATAAGTGATGTAAATTATATAGATCAAAATGTTATTGGTTTAGATAGGTGGAAGTTAATACAAAAAATGTTTAATTTGTTTTGGAAAAGATGGTCTAAAGAATATTTAAGCAATTTAAACCAAAGAAATAAATGGTGTGTAAAGAGACCAGAAGTAGATATTGGTGACGTGGTTGTAGTTAGAGACGACAATCTTCCGCCAGCTAAATGGATTTTAGGAAAAATAATAAAAAAGCATACTGGCCCCGATAATGTGACACGAGTTGTAACTCTAAAATCTAAAAGTGGTTTTCTTAAACGCCCAATCAATAAAGTTTGTATTTTGAATAAGTCAAAGTGATTCAAGTTGCATTATCAGGGTGGGCGGCTACTTTATGTACTTCTTAATTTGTGATTAGTTTTATTGTGACAATATTAGAGTTATTTTACTTTTGCTTGTTACATCCATGTATTATGGTGGGCGGCAAATAAGTAGTACATTAATTTAATTTTGTGTTTGTTCTTTATTATTTATTTAAAGGACAAGTCCTTGGTGGGCGGAATGTGTAGAATGTATATGTATAATAGTTTTAATTTGATATTATTGCAAGAGATGGCACTGTCATTGTAAGTGTAGTTTTCTGAATCGCGCTGTCTAAAGTTTCTGGTCGTTATATATAAGGCAATTGAAAGATGTGTCATTAGAGTTTAAATTGAGTTAAAATATACGAGTGTCATTAACGAGTAGTATTTTCATTTCTAACAGGCTTAGACACGCATATAGGACAAACATACGAACATTCATTTTTATTTATATAGATTACAATATACTTAAAGTTATTACATAATTACTACATTGATATATTGTAAATTATAATTTTATTTGAAAAGAACAACTGTTGAGTTTCTCGTCGGCTCTTCTCAACAGAACTGCCTTTCGCGACGGTGGTAGATTTCTCACAGACTAACTACCATACAGTGACAATTAATTTAGTTTTAAAATGTAAAATTGACGATTTAAAAGTGATTGTAAAAACCTATTTGAATAAAGTATATTTTGATTTTAAATATTGAAAGGGCTAGGGCATTAAATTAGGGCATCATGGGACATAGACTACCATCTCTCCTCGTCCCGCCTACATCGCGATTGAAGCCGGGGACAAAATTTGTGTAAAAAGATATTAAGTATTACATTCTCTCTAGGCATAGACAAGAGTGCATAATTTGGGTAAATATAACAGTGTACCACGGTAACATGGTGCAACTAACAGTGAGTTCGAATTCCGGACAGGGATTTGCCCAGCCGATGCAAAGCAAATCTAATATATTTCGATACGATAAATACATATTTACCTATTAGATATTCATATCTTGAAAATTAAATTGTTATCGGCTGGCACCGCGACTTCGAAAATATCTGATTAGGTATCTATTCTAAATGAAAACCCCCGTTTAGTTATTTTTTACATTTTAGTGCCTGGAAATCGGTTTTTTAAGTTTTTATTTTTCCATTTTTAGTGTAGACGGAATAAGCAGGTAATTTGTAAGAAGAAAGTTTTTTAATATTTAATTAAAGAATGTATCTATTTAAAAAAATATCTATTGTAGATTTTTTTAAAAACGGCTCGACCGATTTTAATAAAATTTAAATGGGACGACCTGGGAAGTATACCCTTCGAAACAAAAAAAAATCCAAATCCGTTCAGGCGTCTTCGAGCAATCGGTGAACATACATAAAAAGATTTCGACGAATTGAGAACCTCCTACTTGTTGGAAGTCGGTTAAAAAGGTAGAGAACTTACATGGTTGTAGTAAGCTGTACCATGCAAGTCCGTATTGTGAATATTTGATTTGAGTCCTAATACTTGAATACAGACAATGTGGATTGATACAATTTATCAATAGTATGAACGAATTAGAGAAATATAAAATAATTATTAATAAATATGTTTGACATAGACACAGCACCATCTAGTTCCGTGGTAAGCTACGAACGAGACATATGTTATGAATACTAGAAAGTTGATACATTAACATATATAACTTTAAATACATACATATTATAAATATAAACACCCATGACTGAAGTACAAGCATTCAAGCCCATCATGAAATGAATGGCCCCACCGGGATTCGACACCGCGATCGCTAGCACAGCAAGTAGGGTCACTACGAACTGAACCAAACATATCGTTAATAGTACATACGCGGTGTACATGTTACATTTTAGCTCCATTCGGTAGACCTGTTTTTTGACTCGGTGGTAGGATTCTCACAGACTGACCACAGACTGTCTTTAAATTGATGTTTCCACAATCCTTCTAAACATTTTATTGAATAAAATATATGTTTCATAGGAGTGTTGTATTATTTATTATACTTTAACTAGCATGAAATCCGTTGGCTGCGTCTCCTATAAGGTGTATAAGTGGTAACCGTTTTATTTTGCTTACGTCACAATATCTTATTGGGTGCATTGTTTAAACACCTGCTTACTTCACTAAAACCAGATTCGTTTATCGTGTGTCAGCGAAGGTTTGTGTTCACTTATAGTCCGGTCAAAATAGATATTCAAGGTTACATTAATTCGCACCCAGCTAAAAATTGGCATGAATGTTGGGGGCCCTAGTACACACAATTTGTCAATTATCCACATCAATCCAACGTGTGCAAAAAAATTTAATCAAGGTCAAACGTAGCAAAAATCGGTTTTTTGAGTTTTCCAGCTAAACGGTAAGTTTTATTATGAAAATAGGTGAGACAAAAATTATTCATCATGCAATTATCTGTAAAAATTGGTTATACACTTTTTTTCCTAAGAATCACCATTTCGGAGATATAGCGATGCAAAATGTTGAAAAAGTTGTGTTACTCATAATATGCACACGTTTCCGCGCCACCCGTGAGGTAGTGTACATGGCGCGTTTTTTTTCACGTGGTTTCCCCAGTAAGCCTACTCCACGATCTATTGTGGTTCTGTTGAGTTAAAAGCTATTGTATTAAATTGTAGAAAATTATTTGTCTGATTGATACTCTTCTAATGGAACATAATCCATACTGTCTTGTTCTTCTTCTTCTTCCTGCTGGGTACAAATAAATTGTTCAAAGAGCGATGCATCAGATGTCTCCTCGCATATATCGTAAGAATCCTCTTCTACTGGTGATTGAACATTGGAGCACGATTGGCCTCGACAACTGATACATGCTAATGAACAAAACAACCCAACTTTTTTACATTTAGCATTACACCCCGTTTTGCAATTGCAAAAAATTGAATTGAGGAGTTTTTCTGGTGCAGGAGGGAGTAAAGTCTTAACTGGTTCCAATATATTGTCAATTAACTTCCAACCCCAGTCTTCTGGGTTTAGTTTATTACCGAGCCATACTTGAACTTGATAATATACCCGAAATAGATGTTGCTGAGCAGAAGCAGAGGTTGGAGGAAGACAAGCTAGTTGTACTTGTTTTTTTTTATGCGTATTTTTAGCAAAACATAAGTATCGAAACTTATCTAAGCACGTAATTTTTTTTGGACGCGAATTTTTTGGACGGACAATTGAATAGCAGACAGATGTTGCTCAAGGCCGTACAGTCATATAAAATGAGGGACTGGGTTCTTTTTCGAGTTCATATTCTTACAATTGTATAGTATGTATGTATACGCCACGAAAACTAATATTTTTACTTATATTAACGTTCTGTAACGTTTAAAACGATAATTGACATACATATTATGAGTAACACAACTTTTTCAACATTTTGCATCGCTATATCTCCGAAATGGTGATTCTTAGGAAAAAAAGTGTATAATCAATTTTTACAGATAATTGCATGATGAATAATTTTTGTCTCACCTATTTTCATATTAAAACTTACCGTTTAGCTGGAAAACTCAAAAAACCGATTTTTGCAACGTTTGACCTTGATTAAATTTTTTTGCACACGTTGGATTGATGTGGATAATTGACAAATTGTGTGTACTAGGACCCCCAATATTCATGCCAATTTTTAGCTGGGTGCGAATTAATGTAGCTTTACCCCTATTTATGGAGCTAATTTGACCGGACTATTAGAAGAATAAATCTTAACTAGTTCTGTGTTGTCTACTCTAGTTTTGTAACAAATGTTAAGTTGTATTTTCAAGGAATTTTCACTGGGCGGTAGCAACCTAGCCTACTTACTAGAGCTTTGTGGAATTGTGACATATGAGAAACATTACTATCTTATCAACGTGGGTTTATTTATGTATCTATTCATAAACATATAGTATAACTCCACGTTTTTTTTTTGTTGTAGGATAACTACGTAGCTGGGAGTTTTTCTCCATCTACTCTGCACTGTTCCGTTGTTATCAAGAAAAGAAGGTAATACCTAACGCACACACATCAAAATCTGATCAATTTACCAACTACTGCACTGTAATTATGATCCTTTACATATCTCCTCTTATACAAAGTCAGTCTAATTTACAGGACCACAGCTTATTAATACCAACTTAATACGAATAATATTATTTTTTATTCCAATATTACTATGATCGATAGTGAACAGTCATCAATGAGCGAGGCCCGGCCCACAGCCACCAGATCGCGAACTGTGATTGGTTGATATCGCCATACTAATTATTGGTTAGAATAAAACAAAAGCGCCGCACGCGTCGACTTGGTGCAGCCGCCATTGTCATAGATTGGCCATTATTGATCAGTTCTGATGGCGCTACGACGATGAAAGTTTGTTTTTGTGTTACATCGGAAAAAGTTTTATAGTATATTATTAATAGCATAGTGATATACAGTATTTAGCCATAGTGAGGACATTTAGGGAGATGATCTTATCACCCCAAAGGAACACTTAAGGTACAAATCTATTTTTTTTATCATTTTTTTTTTATTTACTTAAGGTCTACCAGCAGTTTTACAATTATTTAATACTAGCACTATAATTAATATCGTATATAACATTGGTAAATTGTAAATCTATATTAAGGTAAACACAACATGCTTCAGAAATACTACAACAAAGAAGAAGAAAAAAATAATACATTACTTACTTACTACGTTTTACTATTTGTAAAAGTTGATACAAAATATTATTTTTATACAGCGAAATAGAACAGTTGAAAATGTCAATTGAGCCACTGCATTGATTAAATATTTTTGTTATACGCGGTATAGTGGAGTTCGCTCCTAGCGCCGTTTTTCTAGAGATAATATGAAAAGGCTTTAAACATAATATGTATATTTTCTGGTATATAATATTAAATGATAGAGAACAATGATGACAAAAATACACATTGTTAATCTTTATATATATAATTCTTCTGTGAGTGTGTATGTCACTGAACTTCTCTCAAACGACTGGACCGATTTTGATGAAATTTTTTGTGTGTGTTCAAGGGGATCTGGGAATGGTTTAGATTCACAATTTGAATAATAATTTTCATCAAAAAAATTATTAAAAAAAGTTTGAAATTTTCAAATTAAAGACGTGTAGACAGGCCAACGTCTGTCGGGTCCGCTAGTAATATTATAATAAAACATGTGAATGTAAAGAATTTCAGCATGTAGAGATGTACAATAATTTATAATCTGTTGAATGCCTAACTTTACTAAGATTTACTGAACATTAGTAATCGTTCGACTTTTCTTTTAAGTTTTGTTTTGAATCCGTCGCATTCTTATAGTAAAGCTATAAAAATATTTATAAATAATATCAATATAAATGATATATTTATAAAATATACTAATATTTAATACATGGATATTATATGTATAAATAGATATATTTTATTTTTGGTTATAACATTGCCTTTTCTGTTCTCACTAGCAATATTATCAATTTTAATTATTGTAAAGGCAGATTTATAAATTGATTAAGTTATTTTTAATGACACTACGAGTATACCTACCTATGAGATACGCTTGTGTAGGTATTCTCCATTTTGTCGGATGATTTTGTAAAATTCACTCAGGAAAGTTTTCGGATTGCTAGATTTTGTAAAATTCATTCGTGACACTACTTTTACGTGATATTTACATAATATTAGTTACATGACATTAGTTCTATCAAAACATCAACGTAACTATTTTAGTTTCGTACAACTAATGCATGCTATGTGGAACTAGAAATGTATAATGATATAATACGAGGTGTTGCCATTTTTTCTAATTTTAATAAAAAACCTGATAATCATAAAAAAACTTACGTATAAATCCTGGTG